GGTTTTCCAACACTATATTATATAAATATTATCCATGCAGCCAAAATTTTCAATAAACACTCTTCACATACAAATCTTTATACATCCCAAGATGTCAGCAGAAATCCGCTCCCTGCTGCGGCTCTTTTTTTCTTCTGTAAACCACTTGTTTGGGCCTCAGCTGTAGGAGCTTCATATTGAGACTCTTAAGGAAGCCACAATCTCCAGCCTCTCTCTCCCATGATGATCAGAGAGGGAATTGGTTGTTGGGAATCAAACCGTGAGCGTGCGTACATTTATAGTAGTCTACAAGAGGAAATGGGTCACAGTGTCTCCGGGGAATCAATCTGGTACCACAAACCTTCTCTCCAGCACACATGTTTAATAATGGATTGTAAAATTTTTGAAGGCTGTACTTACAAGAATTTATTAGAGAAAATAGCAACATTAACAAAAGTGTGGACATAAAAACAACCATGTCCAAGCATGTATTTCCTCTTCTTTTTTACATGAATCAAGGTGGCTAACTCAGATTATAGATTTTTGTATAGATTTTTTTTTTCAATTATAAGCTGCAGAACATTTCTACAATTTCATATTAAAATTTGAACATTTCTATTTTTGTCACATAAAATATGCATGATTGATGAAGCTGCATTTGTATCACAAAGCCTTTTTCCAGGAGAACATGCCCAGGGATATCTCACCTGAGTGCTAAAGGACAGAGTTGCAAACCTAAACAAAAAATTACCCAAAAATCCATCTAGGTATTAAAAAAAAAAGTCTGACTGAATGAAAGAAAAATGTATAAGAAATAAGTCAAGTTGAAAGAATCATGCAGGATATTGCATCCAAAGTTAATAGATTAGAACAGGGGTAACCAATTAAAAATCAGCGGGGTCCGAATACAGAAAATAATCAACCAGTGAAGGTCCTGACTGAGACATTTTTAATTATAGTCTGTTACTTTAAACAGAATTTAACACTGAAATAAAAAGCAGGTTTTTATATATCTGTGTAATACATTGAATTTTTTATTTTAAAAAAAGGTGTTTTTTGAAGTAGAGAACAACAATCGTTCAGTTTGGTATATAAACAATTTCCTGATTCACATATTTTATAAAACACCTGAACTGACCATGTGTTTTGTTTTTTTATTTTTTCTGTCTTAATGAGAGCATGGGCTTTAGGCTGACCTGCAAGGCTTTAAACCTGGGTTTGAATGGCGACAAAGCCAGTCTAAAGAAAATATCAAGGTACTCATTTTTGAGCCTTGATTGATATTTATTTTGATTCTGTTCATGGTGGAGAATCCTGCTTCACAGCAGCAGGTTGAGCCAAACATAGCAAAATGTTCAGGGTCATCTTTGAGCACGCCATTTCTCTTTTCTTTCACCAGTTTACCACGATTTTTCCAGCAGTCC